ATAATGATTCAATAGTGATTGTGATGAAAGGGCTATACATGGAACTCACGAGGATACTGACGGTTTTCACAAGCATTGATTTATCAAATAATATGTTTGAAGGAGAAGTACCCAAAGTTATTGGAGAGTTGCATTCTCTCATAGGGCTTAACATTTCACACAATAGAATCACTGGTACCATTCCATTGTCACTGGGTAATTTAAACAATTTGGAATGGTTGGACCTCTCATGGAACCAATTGAAGGGTGAGATTCCCATGTCTTTGACAAATTTGAATTTTTTGGCAGTCTTAAACCTTTCACAAAACCAATTTGAGGGAGTAATACCTACAGGACGACAATTTAACACATTTGGAAATAATTCTTATGTTGGAAATCCAATGCTTTGTGGATTTCCTTTGTCAAAATCCTGCAATGAGGATAAAGAAAGGCCACCATGTTCAACACTTGATAAAGAAGAATCAGGATTTGGATGGAATGTCATTGTAGTGGGATATGCATGTGGGATGATCTTTGGAATAATATTAGGTTGTAATGTTTTCTTTGTTGGAAAACTCGAATGGCTTGCAAGACTTGTTGAAGTTGTGTGAAACGTGAGACTCATAAGAACAAACATAGCAAATCATGCAAATGGTTGGAGAAGAAATTAGTGCACTTTTAATTTAATGTTTTTTTTTTTTTACGTGCCCATATGTTTTTTTGTAGTTTTAATTTCTCTTTACTCAATCTTATTCAATAAATTTCATATTATGTTCAACATGTTGGGTAAACTTTAAATAGACCCATTGCCACAAAGTATTTTGTCTTTAGTTCCCATTTTGTAAAAGAAGTTAGGTATTGTGTTAACACTATCATTACCCACATAGTAGTGGAGAGTAGTGGAGATTAGTGGAGATGTTAGTAGAGATGTTAGGTTATAAATATGGGGATGTAGTCTTGTATGAATTGTGACACACTTGTAGTGTGTGTACCGTGGAGAATGGGAAGTGAGAAGGAAGAAAGGAGAGAGTCTCCATGTTTGTGTATTGTGTGGAGAAAGTGTGTGAGAGTGTGTACCGTAAAAGAGAAAGAAACAATGGGTTGTGTATTGTGAGTTGTATGTGGTGAGTTTGAGAGATTAAAGTGTTGTGTTTGTATTTGTGTGTTCTGGATAGTTTGTCCAGAAAATTTATATTTATACATAATGAAATATATTTCCCAGATAACAGATAATTGGTATTATACCTCCCAGTTCAATTTCTACACAACATGGCGTAAAATGTTAAACCTTCATAAGCATGCATAAAGGTAAACTAACATTCAATCTTCGATCAACATTGTCCTGGATGCATATAACCTATATGTTGACATGATTAATGCAAAATTGTCTTGTTGTCTTGTTCATACAAAAGATGTATCAAGAAGTGAAGATGACACAGTTCTTTGACAAAAGAAGTTTAGAAGTTAACTTATCAATAAATTTTTAATTTATAAGTTAGGCATATAATTTAGTTTGTTCATTTGTAACATACTAATATAAAACTATTAACTAAAATATTATAAAATCTGATAGTGTATAATAGATAGAAAACATACAAAATGTTATTTTATTGTTAATTTTTAAATATAAAATAAATACTAGAGCTAACTTTTTTGTTATTCTCTATTTTATTATCTTTTTATATAGATTCATAAAAGCAAAGAAAAAAAACAAAAACATAATAATTTTATCTTAAAAAGATTTAATTAAGTTTTAACTTTTTAATAACCTTGAATACTTTTACTAAAAAAATGTATTAATGTTTTTTTTTTCTATCTACTGATTATTCAAAAAATTATATATAAATTAAATCTGCGTCGTTTATTTTTTTTTATTGAGTGACATAATTAATATTTTATTTCTTTATCTTTGTATAATAAAAAATATAATATTTTATATTTAATGTAAAATAATATTGTACAGAAGGAATATGTCATTAATCATTTTATACATTAATCACAAATATTAATCTTAAAATATCACATGTCTTAATATATATAAATCTCTTAATATAGAGAAAAAGAAATAGGTTAAAACCCTTTAGTTGTCTCTATTTATGTGTGTTTTTCTCAGTTTGATTCCCAACTTATTAGAATCCCTAATTTGAGTTCTTAAAAGTGTTAATTTGAGTCAATTGAGCCCTTAATGTTAAATTTAGTTAACGAGGTTAAGTTTTTGTATAAGTGAGAGGTTGATGTGTACTTTTTTGAAACATGGCATGCTGATGTTAGAGTAATGTGCTTGTGAACCTGTCTGATTGTTTTTTCCAATTTTTCATATAGTCACTAGAGTTCATCATGCTCCATCACCTCCTTCGTAGTGTCAGTGATACTCCTCCCCCCACCAACGCAAACCCTCACGCCACCGTAAGAAGAAGCCATCGCGAGTTTCGTCAGAGTCACCATGAAATCTCGAAACTTTAGCGCAAAAGCTCCAAAATCACAGCGTCACCATGAGCATCACCGCAAAACGAAACTCCTCTCTTCATCTCCTTTATCGCGAAACACTTCCTCGCAACCTACAAAACCTAAACATAGAAAGCCCCAAATCTCTTCGCACCAGAAACCCTAAATTGCGACTTCGCTCATCTTCTAAATTGAATCCCAATACTTTAAATCCCAAATTCCTTTCAGATTTTTAATCCCAAATTGAATCCCAAATTCAGTTTTATTGAACCCTAAATCCCTTTTAAGAAGCTCTGCTAATTATAATGT